GTAGTGCACAACCAATATACGTGTATCGCGATGTCTTGAATATCGTAGCGACTGAAGCATGAGGCGGCCTGGTTCAGCACATTCAGTTGCCTGGGGACATCACAAAAGAGATATTCAGCTGGGTTCCAGGTGAGTCTCTCGCAGACCCAAATTAGTTTGAAAATGTGTGTATTTCGCTAAAAACAGTATGCTACTGAGAAAAGCTGATGCTTCCAATGACCTCGGGGCTTGTCTTCAGCCTTGAATAACGAAAAGTGAGTGTGAATTTATACTGCCTCATCCAACTTCTACTATTACTAATGCAGAAAAAATCGATACAAGTTGAAATACTGGTGTTATAGTAAGGTTTTATCCTTCTAAAATGGTCCTAGAAAAGACAATAATGGTTGGTCTCTTGGTAACCATCTGCCTGCAGAGTTCACCTTACGAAACACACCATATATGGTGGGCACTTTGAGGTGATTATCCCACAGAAAAGGAGAAGAACCGTGAAATCACATGATGAGGCGATGATCTTTCCTGCAGGTGTGCTATGCTATCCTACAGGAAAGGGAGGCAAATATGCGTGATTTAAATGAGACACTTGCAGTACAAGTTGTTCACGTAACTTACATGAGCTTGTAGTGCAGCCAGGAGACATGCCTCATCGTCGGTTGCCTCGATCAATTCAGATATCACAGACCATTTTGCTTGTTCATATAGTTGGTTAATTCGAACAATATCATACTTGGCATTCAGGTCATAGAAACTGCCGTATTTGTATCGCAACACCAGAGTGGGAACAATGGGTTTCCTGGATGAGTCATTGGAACTGGTCTTCTGTCCATTCACGTGACCCACTGGACCATCCATCTCATAAACCGTACAAGGTCTCATATCGATACCTTGTTCCATGAGAGATTTGGATGAATCCAACCATGTACTGTTCAAGCGTAATCGTTGGAGGAAATTCTGTGGGTGTACTATTGACCCGTTACAAAATGCCTCCTCCACACCCACTACTGGGCTAAAGGCCAAGGATGGGTCTTCCAATGCACGAAATTCAAAGGCGAGTGTATGTATTGATCCAGGTGCGAAATTCACATTGTTTATGCTGGGTATTGCATTTTTCAGTGGCTGAGACCAGTTAGTGATATTACGGACTCGTGAATCCCGTATCTTTGGGGGTCCGAACAAATTATCCGATGCAGCTAATGTTTTACGAGCTGTGCCGTTTGGCAAACCGTCTCCGGTATTATTTGGGTTTCCGCCATTTTGAGCTTGCTTTAGACTGTCTGATGTCAGCGAGTTTTTGGACTGAGTACGAACTCCAGCGATTGTTGCACTACGTTGGAACGCGCTGCGCTTAACCGCGGCCTGTGAGTGATATCGTCTATCAACTACATTGACGAAAAATCGAGATTGTTTCAAATCAGACTGGCTTATCGGATGGGCTAGGGAGAGTTCTTCTGGATGGCGGATATTCAGGTGGCGGCATATAGAAACAGTAATGCGGAATACTGGTTCCGCGTAATTCACATCCACAAATTCACGCAGTTGTAAATCTGGCAGTTGGACATTTAGTCTTCCGTAAATGGGGACAAGACGTAGTCTAGCATCTGCCTGAAGTCCATACTGGTTTAGACTCACACGGCCGTGCAACAGCCACCGGTGTTTGGCTGGCCACCATAAACAATGTTCTGCCCAACCGATGCGCGGTGTGCCCGAACGAAGGTTAATTTCTGTCGGTTTTGCCGGTTTGAAGGTGGGTGGTGGGAGACCCTCCGTTAGTTTGGCTAACACCTCCCCCACAGACCAGTCCCCTTGTACTCGAACTTGTCGATCTATTCCCAAATCGTCAATGTGAACTGTGAGCAACCACGATCCATCAACGTAGTGTCCGTCAGCAGCAATCATGTTGGTGAGCTGAACGAGTGATAATAGTTGGGTATGAATCCAGTCTGATAGTTAAATCATAATATATCTAGTGGCACAAGCGTTTTAAAAGAATGAATTTAACATTCCTCCACTGAACAGCACATGCAGATTCACCGCAAAACAGTGGATCAGTGTGCTGCGTTGTTCAGAAAAACCGGCGGTGAGGTACACAATTACAATTGACCAATAGGAGAGCGCTATCTCACGATGCGTTGGATTGACCAATCACAACTTAGCGTCGATCTGGACAGGGTGGACAAATCGGATCAGAGAAAATTTCCTCCATCGAATTTCCTTTGGGCAGTGGTCTTGTTCCCACAAAATTACCTGCAGCCAAAACCAAAAGTTAGGGCAAACAAAGTTTGGCAGTATTTTATTTGCGTAAACATGCGTCGGCGCCTTGGAAAATCGATTCACAGTGGAAGAAGAATACGGAATGGATGGAACCGGCGGAGAACAAATAACCTAGCCTATTTAATTTCTGTCTGTTTAAATGAAAACTTTGGCGTTGCTCAACTCTGGGAACTTAGTTCACACAACTCTATACATACAAAAGAAACCAGCCTTGTGGATCGTAATGGAAAAGGAGGACCCAAGGGTGAAACAAAGAGAACAAACATCCAGGATGAACTGGAATGGTTGAAACATCGTAAATTGTGTGGTAACGATTAGCACGGATACAATATATGTTTAAATTTGAAAACCTTGTCGCTTATTGCATTGTAGCCCACTTTGTTATTAGAAACGGATGTGGATAAGTTGTATTTGGTACCTCATAATTTGTACTGTGTGGTGCTGTAATCAGAACAAGGAATTACTTATTCTGAGTGATATTAATGCGCGACTCTCCGGACATTTTGCCTTTAAATGTACAACATGACTTATATTTCTGTGTGGAGTATGCACACTGTTATAGTTGGGACATTCATGTCTCAGTTGGTATCTACGAGGGACCGTAATGTTTGGCTCATCTTGAGAGACTCTCTTGCGGGGTTTTGTACCCAACGTGATGGCTGACGGGGACGCCATTTTAAATAAACGAGTGGAGTGGCAGGACCCCCAAGGTTACACTCCTTGGGAAACATCCTCTAGTTACATGTTGTAAGCTTCCGATAGGATGATCCTGACATATCGGGAGTCAACTTTTAGGCTCATATACTTCACGGTAATTGCTCTCAAAGATCTACACGGTATGGAAATTGATTTTTCTCTCTCAGGTTAACCCCCCAAAGGTTCGGCTACACGGAAAAGACACTCTAAAACATGGGTGTGTTTTACCGTGAAAAATCCTTCTTGTAGGTGAAATGATCGTTACTTGTCGATCTGTTCGCGCTTGACTTACAGTCGTGGTACTTCACACATTTGCGTGAGCTGAGAAGTCGGTTGAAGCGAGGAAAATGATTTGAAAGTGCAACATTAGTCACTCAACATAAGGCAGCTCCAGATGTAAATTTAACCTGCTACCAAGGCACAATCCGAAGTTATTCACTCAAAATAGGGAGTATACATTCACACACACACACACACACACACACGGTACACTCCTAGGACTACTGTGCACTTGTAGAGCCCGTGCGAAAAATAAACAGTCCTGATATGGCACTTGTCCACCATGCCAATGCAGTCGACATTGCAACCATAAACTGCCACCACGCCGAAAGAATTTTACCCAAGATAATCCTGACATGCGAAATTCCTTCAGGTAGCTTTTGATTTCGAGCATGGTGGAGTGGTATGGTGTCCGGCCATTAACTGAAAGGCTGGAGGTTTGTATCTCTCCAGCGCGCTTCTTCCGAGTCCGAACAACAATGCTTCTGGACAGTTCAGTATGGGATAGATTGACTTGCCATTAAAAACCAAGCACTCCCCTCACTAGCTACGAGGTGAGGATAATCTGCTTAGAAGACATTTCACTATTCGAAAGAGCTAGTCAAAACTAGGTCACGTGCGAGTACCTCGGGTTTGGTGACGCTTTGCCCTATCTAAATTGCTGACTACAGATTGCTCATTAACGACTGAGCTGTCTAGTTTTCAGCAACTGAACGTAACAAAGATAAGCAATGAGTAAGTACTTCTGCCCACATACTTCACTTCAATTGTTACTCATAGCCGAATAAAATAATACGTAGAACAGCCTCACTTGTTAAGTGGTTCAATTTATTCTAAAATACTTTCGAGGCAGACGAACTTGTCAGTTTAGCGGTTTTAAAATCTGTAGAGCTCTATCGTGTGATGCGATTGGTCCGTCTTTATTCTTCTTCGGCCTCATTTTATTAAGTTCACTTCCCTGTGTGACTTTTAAAGGATTTATGATTGACCGTCTTGTATGACTCATAATTCAGCTGGAAAAATTCCACTGGTTGTCTGTATTTTTTAGATCCGTCAAAATCATCTTTAATCAATGACATTTAGTTTATTGGTAATGTGAAGAGATTCGGGTTCCTATGGAGAATTCGTCCTGTAAGTGAAGCTAATCTATGCTGAAAAACCTAGAAGCAATGTACAGCTGTTTCTTCCTTATTGGGAATGAGCAGCAGAGCGCTCACACTACCAACAATTTATAAGTAACTTATTGGAACAGTAACTTCACTCAATAAGTAAAACTTTCATCTGAGAAGTCGTTGCTCGAAGAGTCATCCCACACGTGTGACAGCGTGATGTGGATCCCGTGAGTGAAAGATGAGCGACGCTATATCCTGTCTAAGTGCGAGTTAATCACACTACTGATCAGCCACTCGTGGCCGAACGGTTAAGTATTCAAACTACTGGCCGGGAGGTCGCGGGTTCGCGACTCACCGGAGTTTCTTGACATGCGCACTGCTGATGATTCCCAAACAGGATGAAACAGCTGTACAATGCTTCTCGGCTCTTCAGAATAGATTGACCTCACTTACAGGATGACACCTCCACGGAACTCTTAGTTTAATTAATATCATCGGAAGTACCAGGCCTGTTCACCATGGAAACAGCTGACAACCGCCGTATTGGACAGACTGGTCCAATCTTTCTTCGGTCCATAAAGCGTGTCTAATGACCACATCTGTGAAAAGAAATGCTCAAAAAATGTATACAACGTATAGAGCAGATGGATCATCGATTGATAGTTTCAGTGCGGTTTAAGGTAGATGGTTTCAATAGATGGACTGCTTCAGATTCTCTGGCGAAGGCACTCGTTGGTTATTCGAGGTTCTGTTATAAGTGGATATCGATTAGTACAGACTCCACCGGTTCTGCAGTTTTGGCATTTCTTTCACAGAGAGGTTTACGCTCATTCAAATGGCCGTCCAAGTTGTTGATTGGCTTCTAAGACTTCTCTCTTCTCTTCTCTTCACTCCTGATCAACCCCAAACTGGGTCCCTTCAGTGGTTGACTGTCTACGGATTACGAGCACCTGTTTGAAAGAAAAATACAGTCGAAGCTATTGACCATCTTAACGGCGGAATTGGACCGTCGGTTGTTTACCGCACTGCCTGCTGAAGGAAGTCGATGGAGCCCAGGAAATTTTGAGTCGCGACATTCCTGTGATGCAGATGACTTCACAAGATAAGCGATCTATCAACTTGTCACTTATTCTCGGTTTGCATCGCAGAACCCAGTGGTAGAACGTGATGTTGAAAAAATCGATCACCTTTTTCTGTGCAGCCAAGACATGGTGAATCACTTTCATTATCCCTAACCTGCTAGTGTAGTAGTGGAGACACATGGACTAGCAGTTAACTCTGTTTTGTGAAATATGCCACGGTTAGTAAGTAGTTAACTCAGCACATAACGTGTGTTTGTGGCTTCCAGATCGACAACATAAGCTACCATTGAGTGTACAACTGCGATCGCGCCACAGCGAATCAGGCTAGCTCCAGAACATTGGAAGTTGTGGCAGCATATGAAACTTTGGCATGCCTAACCCGTCCTTGTTGGCAGGCATACCACGGTGATTCAGTTTACTTTCGACTGGTTTGATGTATGTGTGAACACTGCCCCGATAAGCATTGATATGCGAGGATGTTTAGAATTCGTTCACCCTGATCCATGTTTACTGTGCTAGTCACGCCTAAGCTTATGACGATTTTAGTGGGTTCAGAATTCGTTTCAGCAGGTTACATCACCCTCGTTTAGACAATCTATTCCTGTCTCAGAGCAATTATTCAGGTGAGTCCAAACCAAGGGATTGTAAGCACTGCACTTGAGTTTCGCTCTCACTTGAACTCATCAGTAGTGCGTATCCATTGTCGTGAGGTTCTGTTTGAACTCCGGATGTGAATTATATGAATCATGCGACCACCTAAATCTAATCAATAATCGTCTATCAAGCTTCAAATGTCCGTGGCGCTCTCTGACTTGGGAGTCCTTACGTGTGGATCGATCAATCGAAAAAAACCCAGGACAGTTACTGGGTCGTTGTTCCGGGCGTCCGGTAAACCAACCGTACCTCTCAAGTGTAAACCTGTTCGCCTGTTCTGACTTGGTTATTCGGATGCACCCAGAGTGTGCTGGTGGACTAGTGGCGACAAGCTCACCTCGCATGCCAGTTGTACACGGTTCAAATCCCGGGACGTTCAAAAATATAACACTGCCGATGCGCTCTAGCAAGAGGAAACGTGAGATCAGCGCTTCTTCCTTTGGTGTGGGCTCACCATACAGCAGACAGCTGCTCGAACGAGGTTGATATGCACGTGAACCCAAGAAAAAATATGTTGTCCAGTCATATGAGGAAGGCAGTTTGCTCTGAGATATGCCCAAATGCAGAGGGTATCTATAAATATCTTCTTGTATTCAGTTGTACCAAGTCCTTTCAAAAAGGACTTTTCTGAAACTTCTTCACCTGGGAAGACTGATGTCATTTGCTCAATTTTACCACCTTCTACCTAACTTTTCCAATAGCAGAGTTTCTAACCAAATCGTCGCCGGTATCCAGTTTCTTGGCCGTTATTGTTGTTGGTATTGATGCCATCGAGTTTATCGGGTAGTTTTGAGGTTATCTCAAATCGGATACCCTACAGGTGTTGCTACTCTATTTATGCTTGTTCCAGAATACCTAACGGGACCATACATGTTGTATCTTTATACAAACTGTACGATAGAATTAGAAAAACTAAGAGACAAGTGTATCTTCTCTATAT